TGTGAGGGTCTTATATTCCAATGACTAGATGATATTTCAGTTCTATGTATACCTCCTACAAAAATGCTAATTCTCTTAGCCTCTGAAGAAGAGAACATCTGCTGATAGTGAGCCTCTAGATGGAAAAGAGCAAGAACACTTTTCCTTTCCTTTTGTACTGATAATATCATACTAATGCATACTAATGAATCTTGAGATGAATGCCTGTTTGAATCTGAATGGTCAGAAATAAAATGAAGCAATATTGAGTTATAAAACAGAATCAACCATATTTGCCAAATACTTTCTTCACCAAATGGAAACATACACATATGGTATAAAATCAAAATGAAGGAGACATTTTAAAGGGAAGTTCTTGTTTATGATCTCCCTTTCCTCGTAACATGAAAGCTAATGTAGTATTCATGGTCAAATTTAACTTCTGAGACCGTCTGTTCTATCTGAGATGTCATGGAAATAAACGCTATTTTGAAATGAGAAGAGCACAAAATCTTATTCAGAGAACACCGCCCAGCTGCGTTAGAAGTTACTGTGCAATCATCTTTCATTATGCATGCTGTATGGGGGACAGAGAGTGATTAGCATGCAAACTTGATTCTGAATTTGTACATCAGCAAGGAATTTAGTTTCAGATTCCAGTGGAATCCTATAAAATGTCTTTCACAGTCATTCAGTGTTAAAATAGATCATTCTAATAACCCATAGGGATCCCCTCCCCACCCCCGGCCGAGTCAGAATAAATCCTTAAATTTTCCGAATGCCAGTTCTTAAGTCATGTATGACTCAGACAAGTCAGGAATATTCAACTTTCACCTTTACTGTGTATGTATCTTTTCAAGGGTCTGGTGTTACAAAATGTTCTCTAGGACATATATAATACCTTTTCCAACATAGTATTCAGATCCTTTTTCTCTTCTGCCCCAAACTGAACTTCGTGACCAGCTTTAGCAGTGCTTTTTGTGGTACTCTATTTATGTTATCATATAGTGCTAATACAGTTAGGTGATAAAATATGAATTAAGCAGATATAGGGATAGGCAAAATTTTGCACATCATTTTGACCATACCTTTTGATAATACAAATGAAAATTTATACCTCTTTTACCTCAGAGATAACCCAAACTAGTTAATGCAGACCCATTTAATGCAATGGTATGTGGACCAGAGATAGTGCTTGCCCATAGTTAGGACTTGTGTTCTACTTCTAGCACAGCAAAATGAGATGATTCATTTTCATATTTAAACTTATTTGTGATATTAATACAGACATATTTCCATCTGTTAAAATATTGTTATTCTCTATTCCTCCCCTGTCTCAGTCCTCTTGTTCGCCTCTCCCTTCCCCTTCTTCCCTTCCTACCTCCTTCCTCTCCACTCCTGCCCCATGCTTCCACTATGTTCAGGGGTTCTTGTCCCCATCCCCTTCTTCTAGGGACTATGCAATCTTCTGTTGGGGTCCTACTTTTTCAGTAGCTTCTCTGGCAGTGTGGATTGTAGACTGGTAATCCTTTGCTCTATGTCTAAAAATCATATATGAGTGAGTACATACCATGTTTATATTTTTGTGATTGGGTTGCCACACCCCAGATGGTTTCTTCTAGTACCATCCATTTGCGTGTGAATTGACTTTCAAGATTCCATTATTGTTTTTGGCTGAGTAGTACTCCATTGTGTAAATGTATCACATTTTCTGTATCCATCCTTCAGTTGAGGGGCATATAGGTTGCTTCCAGGTTCTGCCTAATACAAATAATGCTGCTTTGAACATAGTTGAACATATATCCTTATTGTATGAATGTACATTCTTTTGGTATATGCCCAAGAGAGGAATTACTGAATCTTGAGGTAGACTAATTCCCATCCTGAGAAACCACCAGGCTGTTTCCAAAGTGGTTGTACAAATTTGGAGATGCCTTGATAGAAGGAGACAATATAGGTATGGAGAGAGGTCTAGCACATGGGAAATGTTAGAGGATACACAGTGATGACCCCAAATAAGAATCGAAGCAGTCTTGGAAAAAATGCCATTTATACCCTTCCCCTATAATAAGATTGGTGCCTACCTTGGTTACCATTCCTAATACCTTCATTCAGTAGCTCTTCAAAGCAGAAACAAAACCCACAGCTAAGCACTAAACCATACTCCTGGAATCCAATTGCGGAGAGGGAGGAGGGTGAGCAAAGGAGCCAAGATAGTGCTGCAGAAACCTGCAGAAACAGTTAACTTAACCTAGTGATAGCATGGAGACCCCAGTCATAAAGCTGGAGAAACATTATTGGACCGAACCAAGCCCTCTGAAGGTGGGTGCCAGCTAAGAGGCCAAGACAGGCTCTGGGACACCTAACAGTGGAGCCAGTACTAGTGTTTCACATGAACTGACAGAGGCTGTGATTACAAATGGACTTTGGGAGTCCATTCCCTATGCAGTGATACTATTGTAGCCCGGATACAGCAAGGAAGGCCTAGGTCCTCCCTTAAGGATATGAAAGATTTTGAAGGTCCCTTGTGGAAAGCCTCACTATCCCTGGGGAGGAGTTGGGGGATGCGTTGGGGGGAGGTTGATGGGGAACATGGGAGGATGGGAGGGTGAGGGAATGGGGGGCATGGATATGTAAATATGAGTAGTAATTAAATAATTAAATAAAAATAAAATATTGTTATTCTAACTGCTTATGCAAGTTCCTGGTTTATAATTCTTTCGATGCAATTAAAAGAAGTTGTGAATTTTACTGGTATTTTTTCACATTTTTCCTTTTCAGTATGTTTCATGTTGTAGTCATATTCTTTTCCTTCCTTCTCCAGTACAAACTGCATTTATCTTCTACCAAATCTTCCCAGTGAACACAAGCAATAGTGATTCCCTAGTGTTATCTATCAATTTCAAATTAAAATGTACACTTTCACTTCTAAGGCTGATTGCAAGACACTGGCATGAAGTCAAACGAATCAAGTGTATAAGACACATGATTTTTAAATATATATAAAACCATGCTTTTGTCTGAGAATTTCTCACATACATACAATGGTTTCTGATCAAACCCACTCTCTAATTCCACCCCCCAACCAATTCCAATTCCTTTCCTAATGTTCCCTGGATATATCTCTTCTAACATCATGTGCTTGTTCTGTTAATGGAGTCATCCTAGCACAGATTATAACTGTCCATGGTTGTAGGATACCTATTGTAGCATAAGTACCCCTCAGGGAACAGGTCTCTAAATAAAATAGTCATCCTCCTCCAATCAGTTATCATTTATCAATAGTATCTCATTTATGGGTAGGGCTTCATGAGTCCCTTCCTCATTCATGTAGGATTTTTTGCATGCTTGATCTTGTGCAACTCTTATGATTGTAATCACAGCCTCTGTCAATTCATGTGAAACACTAGTACTGTTTCAGTAAATATATAAATTACCTCTGACCTTGCTTCCAAGATTGAACATATCAGTATACTGCCTCCAAATTTCTTATATTATATCCACAGATTAGTATATCTCTCAATTCTCACCAGAAAAGCTTCTTTTTGTAGTAGGTGGTAATACAGAGATACACAAGTGATCAATGTTCAGAGAATAAGAAATTTTTGAGTGTTCATCTCCATAACCTGTCAGGGGTCACCACTGAGAGTGACTGTTTGTTCATTGGTGTTACATTGACTGGCATGTGAACTGAATTTTCAACTGTACTTCATAAACATATAACTAGAGTAAAACATGATATGTTTCTGTTGCTTATTCACTGTATCCATGGAATTTAAATATCTTTCATAAAGACTATCTTTAAAAAACAGGAAAACTGAATGATTCTTCTATTATTTTCCTTCACATCTGTAGATTGAGTCAAAGACAAGGTAAGTGGCTTACTGGTGCTAAATTATCTTCAGAGGTAGCAATAGCAACCTCCTTTTTATTCACTCATTCCACATAGTATTTGTGCTTCTCTATTAGTACAATGTATCTAAGTATTTAGACAAATGATGGCTTTTTATATAGTAGAAATAAATTTCAAACAAAAAGGATTAGTAATGTTCAAGGGATTAAAGTTTCAACAAGAAGGAAGTAACAATGAAATATAGATTGTATGTAAATCTAGAGTGGTTTGGATAACAGTAAACATTAAGTTATAAATTGTAATTTGATATAGAAAACCTGAGTAGAATTTAGTTCACAAAGCAGATTCATAGGAGCAAGGAGGCGCTTGTCAGTTCCTAGCAGATGACGTATTCATAGCAGAGCAGTCATATTTCACATTTCATAAACTCAAAGGATTGTTGCCTGGATGTAGATGCACTGAAAGAGTCTCTCTCTCTCTCTCTCTCTCTCTCTCTCTCTCTCTCTCTCTGCTGCTCCTCCTTGGTGTTCCCCCTTCTCTCCCTTCCTCATTTCCCTCACTCTCTTTCTCTCTCTCCCCACTGATTTTTTCAAATAATTTCTATGCTGTGTCAGTTTTCTTAGTATTTTGAAGTGTAAGTGTATTCTCTCAAACGATTTAAGTACAAATTTTGAAGAAAAATGTGAAAATATTACCTATTAAAAGTTAAAACACATCTTTAATTGAAATATCTACTCAAAAGTGCTTTTGAGTTTCAATGTGAGCATTTTCAGACATTTAAAAACTAGAATGGATATATTATTACAGAAGAAATATCATCAAAATATTTTTGAGGATTTTAAAGTGGTAATTTTGACATTTCCTTTTGCATCTCTAATTTTTAACTATTACAGAATGTCTATCAATGTAGTATAAAATGATAGTTTTGACACATTGACTATTCTAAACACTACATTATTAAACGACTATGAATAAAACTAATTCAATAAAAGTGATTAACAATGGCTAGAAACTTACAAGTACAGAAAATTGAAATAAATTTTAATCTTTGACTTACTTTCTCTTAGAGTCAGCAGATTCTCAAAATTATAAATAAATATCACACACACAAAATACACACACAGTAAAATTTAATTGTATGAGAATGGGAATGTTACAAGAAGTGCTTTCAAATGAGCAAAATTAACATTATAAAAACCACAACATAATAATGTTATGAAATTTATTTAACATGTTGAATATTAACATAAATAAATGTTTAAACATCCAGAAGAAAACCAGAAACACACTAGACCCTTAAGAGCTAACTTGTTGATAGATGAACAGTCTACATAGAACAATAAGAAAATTCATGATTAAGCCTTCCATATCTTGAGGAGGCAATTTAGACAAAGGTTGAATGTCAAGTGAAGTTTTTAAGCTCAAAAGGAAATAGAATGTTGTTAAAATTGGATAGCCTTGAAATTGTCAGTCTACCTATGGAACACAGCAGTGATATAAAAATGCAAAGCAAAAGAAAATGAGTAGATTCTTCTACTTCTCTGTGCAATTGATTTTCATATTTCTATATAATGCAATTGAAATCCTGTTTTGTGTTTTGTTTGTTTATAGCGTCCTTGTCTCCACATCCACCATCTTGCTTGATCCTGCATCTGGGAGTATGGAAGGGGTCCTTCTTACCCATCACTGCTGCTTTTTGATCACCCCTTTAGTCTCTAAAAATATCTCATTTCACTATAAGAATTTCCATCTCAAGTATTAATACCCTGGTTTCCTTCATGCCTACATGTTTTCAGTACTGAGATTGATTACGTATGCGTGTCGACCATCTCTGTTCATTCTCCTTCTGTCCTTTTTCCCTCAGGATTTTTTGAGGGAGGTTGATTCCTATTGCCTCTTTGATAATGATGTTTTCATTGGCTGAGAGACTTGTGCAATCCCAATTTCTCACATAACTCAGGAATCATTACTCAGAAATCCTATTGCTAAAACATTTTTAAACCAAACACAACAGCACTCCATGCTGTATATAATCTTTCACCCTTTTAAAATATCACTGTATACTTTATTCATCATAATGCTGGAGGCTAATCTTTATATTCATGTCTGCACACAGTCTTCATGTCAAGAAACCTTTATAGACTGCCTGGCATAGAATTCCGCTCTATGTGAATTAAGAAGGAAGACACCTATTCAGAAATGTGTCTTGTGCCACCTAAATTGTATTATTTTAAGTCACTAAATTTGATATGTTCTTAATGCTATGTTCAAATCAAAGTATATTTTATAAACAATTCATCTTCTTCAGACAACTTTTGCCTTCACTCTTGCCTCTTATCTTAATTTATCTTCTTCACTTCATAATCAAATTGTCCTGTAGACACAGAAATGTGAGGATAATATCATGTACATGTATACACATGGATATTCATACACATACTGCCTCTCCCATGCATAAGCTGATATTCAAGACTGATACTGCTAATAATGGATCATACTCTATAATTTACCCTTAATTCCTTAAGATCATCATTCCTCCATTTCCATGCCTACCTCTCCATTTATATTTTCTTTTCCATTTCCATTTTCAGTGTTGATAGTTTATAGTACAGTATAACCTTCAGTTATTTGTTACACTGTACATTTATTTTTGCTTGAAGTTGTTTTAATTTATTTTTTGACATTATAAAATAATTACATTTCTGCCATATCTTCACCCCCTACAAGACTTCCCATACATTCTTTTTCAGATTCATGGTCTCTGTCTCTCTCTCTCTCTCTCTCTCTCTCTCTCTCTCTCTCTCTCTCTCTCTCTCTCTCTCT